AAAAAAAAAAAAAAAAAAAAAAAAAGAAAGAAGAAAAAAAAGGAAAGATGCGCATGCACACAGCACGATGATAATCCAGATGAATACAATAATTCAGGGACCGCAATGGAACGTCTCTTATTGAATTGGAAAATCGGTTCAAGATCCTCGAAAATCGATACGGCCAACCAGACAAGAGTTCCTTTTAATTGGCCACAATTTCTGCCGAGCTCGTTTCATTCTAATCGAACTCGTTGTGCGTTCCTGGAACTCGATTGGACACGCCATTGAAAGACTTTAATGAAACGTACATGTATCAGCTTTATATAAGCGTTCAATTTTGTAATATTACTTCGATAAACCTATCCATTAATTAATTTTGGATATTTATTTATTGTAATTAGCCTTCTTTTCTCTCTCTCTCTCTCTCTCTCTCTCTCTCTCTCTCTTTCTTTTTTTCAAACATTTTCCTTCAAAATCATCCGGTTCCCCAAGTTTACTTTCAACGAGTTCGAACTAGGCGTCGGTTACTCTACGAAATTGATTATTTAAAAGAAGCACGTTAACTTCAGGGTTAAGCAAAGAATCGATTTCCCGGAAGATTCCTTCCTTGCAATACTTCGCAACATTCTATTTTTCATTATGGCTATCGAAAACAAACTTGGCAAACTGCGCCCACTATATTCTTCTTCGAAAGATACAATTCTCGAAATCAAATAATAATCTTCGAATCTCCTCTTCCCCTCTCTCTTTACTCAAAAAAAAAAAAAAAAAAATAGCAATGATCGTAAATGAGTGGTGACATCAACCGATTCGCTCATTTTTATTACAATCCTGCGTTTCATTCACCACGACACGAAGCCGAAATAAATATATATATATAACCAACAATTCCACCTCTTCTTTTCTTCACAAGAAAGAAGAAGTAAAAAAAACGTAGATATTAAATAAAAAAAAATCTAAATACCAGATTCAAGGTGTTCGAAATGCCAAACGAACGACGAAACGGCTAACACAATGCCACGAACAATGCTTTGTATATTGAACTTGGCCTGCCCCTGCACACATTGCTAGAGCCAAGTCCCCGAGTTGCGGAATGGGCGCGTTCGATGGAGGGGCACCCTTTTCCCAAGTGGTGGGGGGTTGCTACCCTGGCCGTGACGTCATCCACCTGTTACATCCTGAATAAATACACACTGACGCATGCGCCCGTGTACACACCTACACACCTGGACCGTATGCAAACACGCGTGCATCCAGGTACACGCGTATAAACGGCTATGTACCGATAGACGTTCGCCGGGAAACGCGGTGAATGTCGCGGATCAGTGACGCGCAACCTGCGACCCACGACCCGTCGCTTTTTTCAATGGAGGCTGCTCTGCACTTGGCCTCGCCGATTCACCATCCCCTATCGTTGAGTCTAATCGAAACTATGCCTACGATTGTCTGATCGAATTTTTCCACTCTCTCTCTCTCTCTCTCTCTCTCTTTTTTCTTTGTGGTATGCAATCAGCGAAAAAAATTAATTCGACAGCGATCGATCATCGTCGAGACACGAGAATAGTATCGCTTTTTGGATTCTTTAGCGGTTATTGCGGAAAATGTGATTTTGATATCGTTAGATTAAACTCTATATTTTGGACTATTGTATTGGTATGTTAATTTTATTATTGATGTAATAATTTTTATTATTGATTTGTAAAAAGTTATCGGTTTAAAATTTTATCCTTCGAATTTTATCCACGAATAATTATTTTTCTTGAGATTATTATATAATTAGTATATATAGTATTTTATATGGTATTATAT